ATATACACAAAAAAACAGACAAAGAAAAAAACATATATATATATATATATATACATATATCTATATATATATATATATATATATATATATATATATATATATATATATATAAATAATATTAATTGTTAACTACTAACTACAAATACAAAAATATCATTTTAAATAGAACTTTATCCCTTCGCTTGCACTTTCTCTATATCATTTCCCATTCTATTCCCATTAATTCACGCCTCCGGTCATATAGATACTACATTCGATGAAATACAATAACTGGGTCGATAATATTTTGTAATAGGCCTACAAAAGATAATGGTCAAATATACATTTGCAAGGACTGTGTTTTCGCTTTCTTTTTTATAATTTACTAGAACTATGATAGCTTTGTTGAATTATTTATGTTGTTCTTGTCCACACTGTATTTCGTTGATTTGGATTTTTTTCATTTTGCTGGAAAATTACAGAAAAAATAGAATATTTGTTTTAAAACTTTCCATTATTTTCGAATTTGGAACGAGAAATTATAAATTAATGCAATTTTCGATTTGTTCTAAATTCCGCCAATTTTGTAGATTTTTGAGTTCCAATGTTTTTGGAACGGAAACTGGATCCTATTTTTACTTTAGAAAAAAATCCAAACATAAAAAGCAATTCCCGAATCCATTATGTCTCATTTCTACCCCCGATTAGTCATTTTTGGTAGGTGAAATAATTTTGCACATACTTGTCTGATGCAGATCTATTATATACTACATCGGGTGAAATATATCGAGTAGATATTTACCATTTATATACACACAAAATCACACATACACATTATATGTGTAGATTAAAGGTAAAAAGTCATTCGATTTAGTCTCCACCGAGTATAGTATAGAAATAACTCTTTGACGAGTTTGGTTTCTAGAAAATATTACAATATCTAAAAATAAATTGTAACTTGATACCTCATCAATGACGCAAGTATCAACAAGTCAATAACTGTCATCACGGACTACTGTAAAAATAAAATTAAACAAATTAAAATCTTTTTTTTATATATATATACAGGTGGATTTGTATGCATTGCTTGAAAAAAAAAATTGGAATTATATGAAAATTCGAAAATCAATAATTTCAATTTAAAAGTTATAGCAATTTCACTTTGATTTAAAAAAAAATACTTTTTTGGATTTATAAAATGAAAAACAAAAATATTAAAAAAAAAGCATTAGTTCCACTTTGCACCTATGTTAAACAATAACAGTACTTGCACCCTCACATCACAACAAATTGTTCACAATGCACTATTAATTGAATAATAAAGGGTAATTCATTTTTATTGGTTTTTTTTTATTTTGGTGCAAAATAACAAATTAAATTTTTATTTATTTCAACCTCCAACCTAATTTCGACCGCCCAAAGTGTGAAAAACATAAACATCACAACAGATAATTAAAAAAAATTATATTTTCTTACAAAATAAAATCAAATAAACTTTTATCACTAAATTATTCGATTGGTAGATCTTTTACTCTAATTGGTGGAAATATTATATAGAAAGATTTGGAAGAAAAAATATAATTTTCAGATAACTTGATAACGAAATAGGTGAAGGATTTTTTTTGTGATATAAAAATTAATTTTTAAATACCACTAAAAATATTAAATTACCTTTTATTAGCTTTAAAAACACGTGTAAGGTGTGTTATGCATGATATATTGTGTTTCGAGTGTGCAAACTGCAAAGTGCTATTAATTTGTTTCAATGATGCAAAATGGAATTAATTAAAAAAATTCAAGATTTAAAATTCAAAGAAAATCAGGATAGTTCAATGGTTCTAATTCAATAATTCTCACCCCTACCAATGAGTCTATGATTTATGAATAATTTAAGAGATTTTCTTTGTTTCTTTTTCAAGCCAAAGAAAATATATATATATATATATATATATATATATATATATATATATACGATTTTTCAAAGTTGGATTTATTATGGTCAACAAAACAAAATGCGCCATGGAAATTCTAGAAACAAATTTTGCTTATTTTTCTGTAATGGCGGCCAATAACCTCGTTCCACAATCCTATAAATTCCGGCCTCCAAACCAATAACCTTAAATCATTCGAAAAATTCAGACAAATCCCATTAATATATATATTGTGCGTGTTTTTAGTGTGTGTTTCTTGAAATTAAAGAAAAATTGATATAATTAATGGCGAAATCACCACAAGAAGAGCATCCAGTTAAGGCTTTTGGATGGGCTGCCAGAGATAAATCTGGTCACCTCTCTCCTTTCCACTTCTCCAGAAGGTAATTTAGTTATTTAATTATTAATATTAATTTTCAATATTCTCATCAAAACTCTAAATTATTCTAATAATAACACTACTAATTTTCTTCTTTTGTTTGTATATATATATTTCTTACTCTCTTTCTTTTTAAGTGTATCTAATTTTCCATACTAATTAACAGCTTATAAGTTTTTCAAAAAAATCTTAAAAGTTTAAAAAATAAGTTGTTATACACCTTTTTGTTTAAGATTTTAAAAACGCTAAAAACAACTTATCAGCTCATTATCAAAATACTTAAAAAAAATTATTTTAAAAATAAGACCTAACAGCTTATCAACTCTTAAAACAACTCATCGGATGTAACAAACTCTTAAAAAAAAAAAGTTAACTCGGTGAATGTGTTTAAATATTTTCTTTTTTGATTATTTTGTTTTGTCATAAAAAAATATGATGATGTAATTGCAGGGCAACTGGGGAAGAGGATGTGCAGTTCAAAGTGTTGTACTGCGGGATTTGCCATTCCGATCTTCACCATATCAAGAACGAATGGGGTTTTGCTATGTATCCTATGGTTCCCGGGTACGCTTAAATTCTATCGATTTTCTAATTTTGTTTCGTTAATTCCTCGATTTTTGCAATTTGTATTTTCCGTATATATATGATTGCCAATTTTCGAGAAATTTTAGATTACTTCAGACAATATTAATAACTTTGAGAAGGCGATTGGTAAGATCATGCGATGATTAATTAAATACTTACATCTTGATATTTGGTCAGTTCAATAACTTTTTGGGTCTGCCCGTGGCAAAAGAAATTGTTCTATTTAATTGGATATTATTTATTAAAACTTGCATGGTTTCCGAATACAATTAAATTTTCATTAACTATTAAGGATTTATTGCAACTAGTACCCATGTGTTATATCGATTTGCTAGAAAAGTACCTCATGTTATTTTATTAGCAAAAACCTCCTATGACTCAAACTTTTTTACCACACAACCCCTAAATAGAGTACTAATTGCTCAAATAAATTAAATAATAGGGGGTTGTTCATCAATAAAATAACGTGCAGTGGTTTTTTAGCAATTCGATATATTCCAGGGGTACTAGTTACATTAAACTCTAACTATTTAATTTTATCTCGATTAATCTTATCTTAGAAACCAATCAACATCTGAAAAAATTTAATCTATTATAATTGATCCAATAAAACTGCAGGCACGAGATTGTTGGAGAGGTGACAGAGATAGGGAGCAAAGTCCGTAATTTCAAAGTAGGCGACAAAGTTGGTGTAGGGTGCATAGTAAACTCGTGCAGATCATGCGACAACTGCGAAAACGATTTAGAAAACTATTGTCCGAAATTAATACCGACGTATAGCTCAATAAACCAAGATGGGACACTCACACAGGGTGGATATTCAGACATTATGGTATCTAACGAGCATTTCGTGGTCCACATTCCCGATAGTTTGCCCTTGGATGCGGCCGCACCTCTACTATGTGCTGGCATCACAACTTACAGCCCGTTGAAGTACTTTGGGCTCGATAAGCCCGGTATGCACATTGGTGTTGTGGGCTTGGGTGGTTTGGGCCATGTGGCGGTGAAATTCGCAAAGGCTTTTGGTGTTAAAGTTACGGTTATTAGCACTTCTTTGGGCAAGAAAGACGAGGCGCTCGGACATTTGGGTGCCGATTCTTTTTTGATTAGTAAAGATGAGGAGCAAATGCAGGTGTTTATTTTATTTTATAATTATTATTATTATTACGATCTTTAATAACTATATATTATTAATTAAAAAAATATCGTTGTGGTTACCGTTTCTTGATTGTATGCATTTTTTAGGCTGCAATGGGGACTATGGATGGTATTATCGACACGGTGTCGGCATTTCATCCTCTTTTACCGCTCATTGGGCTTTTGAAGTCTCATGGGAAGCTTATCATGCTCGGTGCACCCGATAGACCTCTTGAGTTGCCCGTTTTTCCGCTACTTGCCGGTAAGCCATATATATATATTTTCAAATATGTATAAATTATATGTATTTTTTGAGTTGGCAAAAAAATTTTTTTTTTTTTTGCTATCTTGTGTTTTGATAAAAATGAACTAAAGGTGAAACTTTGGAATGTGTAGGGAGAAAGATCATAGCTGGAAGTGGCATTGGAGGTATGAAAGAGACGCAAGAAATGCTCGATTTTGCGGCCAAGCACAATATTACAGCGGATATTGAAGTCATTCCAGTTGATTACCTCAATACAGCTATTGCTCGTCTTGAGAAAGCTGATGTCAAATACCGTTTCGTCATCGATATCGGTAACACATTGAAACATACTTAGGGAGATCCCGATTTGAGCTGCTGAAGAAATTCTCTCCGTTTTTTTCGGGGGTTTAATAAAGATCCCTATATGGATAGGGAATGTTCGTAAGTTTTTATATTCTTATGTAATAAAATTTCCCATTTTCAGAGATGGGAGATGCTTGTTTTTGCGATGATGTAATTTTGATTGGAGTAAATATATAATAAAGTTTTTGTGTTTTATTACCATAGGATTTTTGCAAGAAAAATAGAATAAAATAAAATAATAAAACAAATAAAGCAAATAATGCTTTCTATTGTTAACTACAGCAATCTAAAACATAGTATATAAACATAGAGTTGCATGTTGACATCTGTTCTAATTCGCTACGGCAAGAAAATTGTTGCGCGAGGGGTTGGCTGCAACATGAGAGCATTTTTTATTTTTTTTTAAATTAAGAAAAAACGAAAATAAAATATCGGATGAATTGTACTAATCTAAAAATCAAGGGCCCCTGCTTTGGACGAACCAGATGAACAAGTACCAGAAGAACCATAAGAGGTCCCGCTTGAACCATCAACGGGTGCCTGGTTTAGACATTCCAAAACTAAGGATCTCCGTTTCTGCAATTTCATTGAGAATGTCGTTGCCTCTAAAATTGCAGGTACCTGTCGTTTTTTCAATCAAGAAACGTGAAAACAAACATAGTGTAAATAGTTTTATTCAATTAAGTTTGTGTACATTTCGAATGTATATTTAGTGTTTAACAACATTAACTAATACCTGTGTATTATTTCGTGCCACTTTGTGCACGTTAAGAAGGCCAACCATGTCTTGATATCCTGTAAGAAGCTTGGCAAGTTCCTTGTCTTCGTCTGATTGAAGAACCGTAAATAGTAATTTTCTATTATGAAATGTGGCAAAAATCTATATTATCCAGAAAAAAGAAAAAAAAGAAAACCTGGAATGGCTTTGACAGAAACTAAGGTGTCGGCCAAATGCTGCATCCTTTTCGAGAAGGTTCCCGAAACGAGAGAAGGTGGAAAGGTTATAACTGCAACTCCGTTTAACAATCTTAACACACTTTTTAGAGATCTGACAAAAGAAAGCATCTCCCATTCCTACAATTAAAAGAAAAATAAAAAGATATACGGATAGTTACTGTATTAATTTTACATACGCATCTTAGCAGTTGCTTATATTTTGCTTTCTTCGAGCGAAAGAAGTCAAAATTCAAATTTGGAAACAAGATAGATAATTTTACATTGTTGGAAAATTCACACTGAGGTGACACAGCGACTGGATAGCAATACGGCCACCTGTCATGTTTTCATTACTGGAAGGCTAGCTCGCTCCTAACTT